CCTGGTAACATATCACCTTTGAAGCACAACCGAACCGCTTCACTCGTTACCCACAAACCTTCCGGCGAGTCATTATTACTGCGCCTCTGTAGCCGCTTTAATGAAACCAACTCAAAGTTTTCAGGACAAGTTATGCAGCTCATGAGCTGTTCATCAGATAGGTCAAGATCTACGTCTTTAATCACACCGTACGAATAACTTTTAAAATCTGGCCTGCTAAATCTCCAGTCCATATCCATGAAATCTTTACAAGTTTGTAGTTTAGTGGCACTCAACTCGTTTTTACAATCAATGCGCACTCTGTAGTTATTTAAGTATTTTACTTTTATTATATCTGTGATATCTTTTTCTTTAAATAGTCTTGCAAGTGCGAATTGCCTTGGTAACTTCTCTTTTGATGAAATATAAATTTCAATACAGTTTTCTTTGGTTTTTTTCCCTTTGCTTTGAACCCAACCCTCTTCTTCCTCTTCTCGGTCTCGCTTTTTCGGTCTTATCATTTCTTCATTTGTTATCACGTCCATATTAAATTGCTCCTCAATATCCTGTTCCGCCACAGATTTGTTACTGCTAATCGAAGCACTCCTTGATTCAAAATTATCGTTAAAAAGTTCTTTGCTATCCACCATTGTAAACAAACGATCCGATACTCATTATATTAACTAACAATGCGCTAGACCGATTCAAGGTCAAGCCCGTCGCTCGAGAGTAAATAACTCGATAAATAATGAGATATAGATAAAGTTTACTGCACGCGTCCGTACGAAGCGAATACCGCTGCGAAACTGTGCTTAACTTCGGTGATCGGACGAGAACCGGTGCTTTCAACATGGTATGGACGTTGGCGGAAGCTGAGTTAAATTTACTATTCAGTATCTGCTGTATCTGATAATAGCACTAGTAAAGTACTTACTTCTACATCTTTCCATTCTTAATTTTGTAGGATCCCTCTGTTTAAATTTGCAGCCTTCGCTAACTTTGTGATAAAGTTGAGGATGGTTTCGAACAAACATACCTATCTCAGCTATAATAAGGATACCAGAATCATGACACGTAGTTTTTTGAAAAGTGGTTTTTTAAATTAATAAAATAAAATAAAAATAAATTGCCTTAAGTCTACTTATTTTATTACTAAAATGGCTATCAGAGCGCCTACTACGACTACGTGAGTCTGCCGGGGCGAGAAAGAGGGATGGAGCTATGCACCTTTCATAGCTCTATCCCTCCACGCCACAGAACATGTTCTGTGGCGTGGAGGGATAGAGATGAGGGATAGTGATCGTATGTATACGATCGGTCTCATGGAATGACGTAAACAACGCTGACGTATAGTGCTATCATCAGATACAGCAGATAGTGAATAGTAAATTTGCTATCGCTATCGCCAACGTCCATACCATGTTGAAAGCACCGGTTCTCGTCCGATCACCGAAGTTAAGCAACATCGGGCGCGGTTAGTACTTGGATGGGTGACCGCCTGGGAATACCGCGTGACGTTAGCTTTTTGCCACGTTATTGACAAGTATACCGTCAATGTGGCAGCCGACATGCGTGGTTTACGAACAAATTAAACATAAGAGACGAGTTTAAAACCTTCCTTCCGCACACCACATTCCACCCCGTATCCAACAGTCAGAGAACCGACCCACTACACCCGATTTTTCATTCCTTTATCCTTTCCTATAACATATCATAAAAGATCGAACGCTTTGGACAAGTCGAAGAAAAATGCGTTTACCATCGTCGTCCTCGTGGTGTAGTATACTTGACGGTGTGTTTCAGGATAAAACAGCACTCTCTGTAGATACCTACTCCTGCTTTACGCCCCAGCTGGGCATCATGCTCCTCTACATATTCCAATAGGCTTACTTTTATCATACCATCAAGCACCTTAGCCTTGTTGGTAGCGAGCGAGATAGGGCGATAATTATCCATGTCGAATGTGTTCACCCGATTCATTCATTATAATGACGGGGACTACATTATGACTGTTTTGTTTACTAACACAAATCATTCAATCATACAAAATATTCGTAAATATTCGTAGGCATCAAAAATACACCCAATTTTTGATGTCTACGAGCATTTGAAATTAAGAAATTATCATAAAAAATTGAATGAAAAATTTATAAGTCAAAAAGCTAACGTCACGCGGTATTCCCAGGCGGTCACCCATCCAAGTACTGACCGCGCCCGATGTTGCTTAACTTCGGTGATCGGACGAGAACCGGTGCTTTCAACATGGTATGGACGTTGGCGACAGCAGGGGTAAAATTGTAGTTTAGTACGTCAAAATGCAAATAAGTAGACAATTTTATCATCCAACTAATGCGCATGCGCAGCGTTTTTACCATGGGAATTACAGTACAGTACATTGAGGTCAAGAAAGCAAATGTATGGAAAGCAATTCTATTTCGTCTTCGGGAAGCTCCGATATCCTACGAAGACAGCTGTCGAGCTGCTAACTCTCAAGGAAAGGTTAAAAAAGGGCACTGGATATGTGTTTGCTGTAAGATATAGTTAATAGCCGTAAAGATTGCTCTGAGTTGGTTCAGCAAATAATATTTAACGTTCCAAAGTGACGCACTCGTCACACGCTCATGTTGCATGTCCCTAGACACTCGACCGATAATGCAAAAAATAGTCTACTAACCCGCATTGCTCGAACATACAACAGTCACTTCGCTTCAGTTGATTTATTTAATTGCACTAAACCTAAATTTAAACAGCTCATTATTAAAGAAATCGACTTAATTGTTATTTAAGGTTCTGTTAGTTTTCTTAAACATAAGTTTTTTGTTATTTATTAATTTTATGTTCGGAGAGAAACCGATTATTATACCTTATAAAAGATAGCTTGATCTCTGCGACATTCGTCAAACTGACATTCCTAGGGTTGTCATGGTACAAAAAAATATCGATAGTAATTTTCGACGTTTCTTACTTGTCGATGCTAAAATTATACGTTTAATTGGAATATAATTTGGGTACTGAAATGAAACGAATATTTTAATCTAAGATAAATTTACTTATTCCAAAGGAGTACACCCCAAATCTATATCCGTATCACTTTCAGAATGTCCCGAAACCCAAAGTTGTCGAAAGAATTTTACATGAGTAGGTTACTATTTAAATTTTATTTACGCACTATTGTAAATAATGTTATTATTTTAAAATATACAATAAAATGAAATGATAAATTAATTTTGAATTAAGAAAAAATATCGATAGTTTATAGTTTGTGGTCACGATGATTCATCACTCATCACTAATTAGGTCAGCATGCCCATAAAGTATGACATTGACAGGTACGTTTCTCCACAGTTTCTCCGTACTGTTAAATTCAGAACTTCATAGGCGCGATTTTACTGACAGCTGTCCCAGAGATCAAGCTATCTTTTACTAAGTGTAGCTATAATAATATATCACATTTAGCACCGATGGTTTTCTAAATGAATAAAATAAAATAAAAATAAATTTCTTTATTTCTACCTATTTTATTTCTCAAACGGCTGGCTTTTCCCGTGGCCTTGGCAACAATAATATATAACAAGATCTCGTCGAATGACGTGAGCAACGCTAACGTATAGTGCTATTATGACATACAACGGATAGTGAATAGTAAATTTGTCTCCTCTGTCGCCAACGTCCATACCATGTTGAAAGCACCGGTTCTCGTCCGATCACCGAAGTTAAGCAACATCGGGCGCGGTTAGTACTTGGATGGGTGACCGCCTGGGAATACCGCGTGACGTAAGCTTTTTGACATTTTATTTTTGCTACAGATTTTTTTTTGATAATTTCTAAATTTCCTATACTTTTAGATATAAAACTCTTATTTTATTTCTAAAATAATGGCAGTCCTCGCCGTGGTCCTCGCGGTCGTGGCTACGATACGATCGATAACAAGGTCTCGTCGAATGACGTAAACAACGCTAAAGTGGTATTATCAGAGACAGTGGATAGTGAATAGTACATTTACCTTTGCCATCGCCAACGTCCATACCATGTTGAAAGCACCGGTTCTCGTCCGATCACCGAAGTTAAGCAACATCGGGCGCGGTTAGTACTTGGATGGGTGACCGCCTGGGAATACCGCGTGACGTTAGCTTTTTGCACTTGAATTTTTATACCTATTTTAATGTTCTTCTGTTTTTAATTATTATTCGTAATTTTTTCAGTTGGATGATTAAATATCTAGGTATATGTATTTTGAACGTACTAAACTATAATTTTACCATTGCAACGCATTTTTCTTGGACTTGTCTAAAGCGTTCGATCTTGTCTGTCGTGATGTACTATGGGACAGAATGAGAGGTGCGAGGATGCCCCTCAGATACTGGTACTTTCACTAGACAAATCGGGTAAAGTGGGTCGGTTCTATGTCTGATGGGGTTTTAAACTCGCCTCTTTTGTTTAATTTGTTCGTAAACCTTCATCGAGCGGCTGGGCAGCACGTACCTATGTCGGCTGCCACATTGACGGTATACGTATCAATAACATAGGTTATGCATCCGACATGGGGCTGCTCACTGCTCAGTTCACCGGCCTGAAGGAATATTTAATTAACGATCTGCGAGACCAATGGGAAAAGAAACGGGATGGTTTTTAGTCATCAAGAGTCTGACATTCCCTCTCGCGTCACCCTGGAAGTGAGATGTAATTTGACGATTTTCCCCTCACAAAAAGTCAAATACACGTGTATTTTACGCCTACAATTTAATATCAGACTATATGATTATCTATATGTATACTTAAAAAATAAATGCCAATTTCGAGTTTGCATAAGTAAGTGTGGAAGAACGTTCTTCAAAAACAAAATTGTCGAAAATTGAGGTAAGAATCGGGAAAGAGCTACCCTTTCGATGCCGTGTTTGTTCACTACAAAACAAATGACTGAACACTGAGGTAATTGAACACCAGTGATTAGGAGGGCCAGGTTGCTAAATATCATAAATAAATGAAAAAATACAAAAACAACAGACAGACATACAACATAATACTTTATTGTACAATTACATCAACGGCACAGGAGAAAATTCTAGTGTGGAGCAACGTTTCAACGTTTTATTTATTGATCAAGTATTTGTTGGTTTACGCCTTCGCCATCGGGCGTGGTCTCCAGGTCCTCAACGTTCCAGTCGAAGTTGATGCCGGTCTGCTTCTCTATCCAGTCGTGGTAGTACTCTGGGCGGACGTGACCTGGTGGAAGAGTTGGTAGATTTTATTAAGCATCGTGTGACTGTAGGTGGTTCTTTGAGGAGTTAAGAAAGGACCTGACTAAGGGAAGGTGCGTCTGCGTATCGAGCCAGGGTTATGGGTGAAAGCACAGTAATCTATCGCGGCTAGGTTCGAAGCAGAAGAAGGAACGTGTGTGGTTTTTAGTCAGTAAGAGTCTGGCTCTTTCTCTCTCGCCCTAACCAGAGCTGAAGAAGTCATATGTAGACTTTCTAGCCGCAAATAATATATATTTTGCATTAGGTAAGAGACTTTCAAGGTAGATATTCAACTTAATAATGTAACAAGTAATCTGTTTGTGAAACTGATTGAAAGTAACCATGGAGTTTCTTGATCGTTTCTCTCCATCGGAATTAACAGCTAGGACTGATCGACAGACTGATAATTATTTTTCATGTTTAAGCATTATTTGTCATTCAAAAGTGCCTATAATGGTCTATATGAAAAATCATTTCTTCACTTTCACTCAGTGCCCAGTGTGATCAATAACACTGAAGTTCAAGGTGCATTCATACATTCTATGCAATACGTAGATATATAAATGTTTCGTTACGTTGCAATTTGCTCCTTGTTAACTGTTGTGTGATTTTAATTAATTTTAACTAGCTTTTGTTTGTTCTTTGATTTGTATTGACGTATTTCTTTTCACGTAGAAATAGTTTTAGATATTATCTGTAATTTATTATAAATACAAGTAAAATAAAAATAAGTATTGGTTGATAATTTTATCTATTAATCTTTCTTACCTGACGGGTTGTGAGTGTTGCATCCGCGAGAGGATCCGAAGCTCATGATGCCGATCTGTGTGGGCTTGCCGTCTACGTCAATTATGGTTAAAGCACCACCACTGTCACCCTGGGTGGAAAATGTAATGTGGGTTAAGAATATTGTTAAGAACCATATGACAATGGTATGTGAGAGACCTGCAGATTTGTATTTTCCAAGTGAATTACAAGGTTTCAACGTTCTCACCGTGCAAGGGTTCTGACTGGTGTCATTGTAGAACTGAGCGCAGACAGTCTTCCGATCATGAATGACCTGACTGCGAGGGTACCAGGAGCGGCAGACCAGCATTGAGATACCACGCTGGTATGTCCAGTATAGGATGTCGGGGACGATACCACCTGAAAATTGATTTGTTATTATGAAATTATATGGCAAATCTGGCAAACATCTTAGCAAATGTAATGTAGAGTGCTCCTGCTAGGTGGACTGACGATATCGGCAGGGTGGTTGCAGTGGTTGAATGAGAAGAGCAGACCATGGAGCTCAGTTGCGCAATTGGGGAGGCCTAAGTGCACCACTGGACGGAATCAGGCTGATGGTGATGATGATGATGATGATGATGATGGCAAATCTGATTATTTGGCTTTTTTTGGGGGAGGAAAAACTCTCTCACTCTTCTCTCACCACTTCTCAAATGGTCTTCTCCTGCTCCAGGCCGGGAATGAGAGAGATGTGGTGGAAGATTGACCGCTTCTTATATAAGGTCAAGTCTTTTAACACTTACCAGCCCACCAGTCATCGGTACGTCCATAACCGCTTTGCACCAGCTGCAGGTTGGTGTATTCCTCCTCGTTGCGCTGGCTGCTCTGCAGCCTGATTGGCTGGATGTAGTCTGAGGAAATTTATCACATAAATTTAAACTAGTCTGGTCATCTGATAGTGGCGACGGTCGCGCTGCTACCTCTCATGAATATGGGCCTCTAGCATGGCTTGAAACTAGTCGAGTTCCTTGTCAAATAATTACGTGAGCAAACCGAAAACATAATAATTAATTTAGTATGTCTCACGAAAGTTATAATAAAAATATCTGACAGTGGTTTACATTTTTCTCAAAATGTATTAATAATAAATAGTTTAGTTTTTTTTTTTTGATGCGGTAACATAGATTATTGAAGCTTTACTTCTTAAGGAGTTGGTGGCGGCAGATTAGGTAAGGGGCGGCCAAGCTGGCGCCAAAGAAAGTTATGAAGTAGATTGTCAGCTTGTAGCAGTTGGAAATGTCCAAGGGCAGGTTCTCTCCAGGGATAACACCGTGGTGGTGATCACATTGCTTCCCTGTTTGTTTGAAATACGAGCAAAAGAGTGAACATTTCGCTTTTTTTTTTAAATATGATATCGAAGAGATTATTTTTCCTACATACCATTATAAGGTACGTAACGGTCCAGCTTCAGCAATCCGATGTCATCAGTCTGCACTGCAGTGTCTTCTTGGTCGTAACCTTCGTGGATGTACCTCTCTGCCGTTTCTATCATGTAACCTGGGGTTGTGATGTCCACGTGACCAAGTCTTACTATGTAAGTGAAGCGCCTGGAAGTATTAAGGAATGGTTGTAAGGTAAAGCTGTAGGGTTTCCACATGGCGCAATGGTCCGGAGGTTACACCCGATTCTCATAAATGAGGCCGTTCAGTTTCGAAACCTGGCAAGTACCAAAGCGACTTTTACGGTGTTAAATGTACTTTCTATAACGGAAAAACTGACGTACGGTGAAGGAAAATATTGTTAGGAGACCTTTTTTGTCAGGGGAAAATCATCAAATGACGTCCCCCTCCCAGGGTTAGGCGAGAGAGAGAGTGTCAGACTCTAATTGACTAAAAACCCCCCAGTTTCTTCTGCTGCACTGGGCCGAGGCCGCGGTTCCTCATTGCGCTTATCCCGCAACCCCCGCTGAAATTGTTAGGAGACCTGGACTTATAATTTCCAATTATTATTGAAAGATTGAAATCACTAGTAGGCCTTGAGCAAAGGTATAATATTCCTATATGTTATTCTTAGCAGGTATATCGATTTCTAAAGGACTTGCAATACATTTGATTGTAACTCCTCTAGCTTAGTCGACGGGGTTAGAATTGGTTACCATCAGATGAACTTATGGAATAAAAAATAAAGCCGATATGACTGTACGATTAAGAATACGGCCTAGCCTTTTTTATGCAAAAATATGTATTACTCGTATCTTGTCAGTTCTATGTTTTGTATAAGAAATAAAAAAATACACATGTGTGTCCAAACCTGGCGAGGCAGTGAGCAGCAGTGAGGATCCACTCATTGGTGAGGATGGAACCGGTACACGCGCTGACTCCACCAGTTGGCCCCACATTACGAATGCTGACGGTGTAAGGGAACTGTCCGTTTACAGCCTCCCAGCCGCTCACAATTCTAGACCCTGAAAACCCAATAAAGGTAATCCTTAGCTCATTTCAAAAATAGTTGTAGCGACATCTACCGCACAACACGCAGCAAAAGTTCTGGACGCAGTTCTTTACAACAGGTACAAAAACCTGACATCAATCGTCGAGCAGTAGCCCACCAGAAACAGCAGCCGTCTGTAGAGGATCCTCCTTTTTCAATGGAGGATGAGAAACTTTACGGTCACTGGAAAATTAATCAAAAACAATTCATCGAACACATTTAATCGAAAAAAATATTTACCGGACGACAATTTTTCGAACGGCAATTCGTCGAATGACAATTCGTCGAAAACAATTCGTCGAATGACAATTGGTCGAAAACATTTTCCAGTGACCGTTTTATACGGAATTCTTCTTTTTATTACAACGTGTACAGAGAGTGTAAGAGAATTGGTTCTTACCTCTAAGAGAATCTTCGATATACGCGATCTCTGGTTCGACTGGCTCGCACTGGAATTGAGCAAGAAGATCAGAATTTCCACATGGCAATATTTACATCTTAGGTAGTTTCTAAAGACAGCAAAAACTAAATTTACAAATAAATTGATAGCTATCATTTAACATTTAGGTACATATGTACCTATAATAACATTAACTTGATTATTTAACTTTAAACCCCTAATTATGCCTAAACTGAAACCTTTTTTTATGGTATAGGTTGGCAAACGAGCGGAAGAATTTGAGGAAGGACCTGATGGTAAGCATCGGCGTCGCCCATGGACACCCGCAAAACCAAAGGAGTTACGAGTGCCTTGCCGGCCTAATAAGGCTTTCGGATATTTAAGGATTGTTAAGGGATGGGAAGAGGGGGAGGGATTGGGCCTCCGGTAACCTCACACATACGGCGAAACACAATGCTGTGGTTGATTCACGACGGTTTGACGTAGCAAGTGGCTGGAGCTGCATCCGGAACAATTTTTTATGTGATTTGGATATGGGAGTGCAAACATGTGAATTTGCATGATTATAAAAACTTTTTAGTAAAACATAGGTAATAATTATGAAATGAATTTCTTAGTCATGCGTTACGCATAATATTATAATTCGCACTGTCCAAGTGTCCACCCGGAAAGATAATCTCCTGATAATTATTTCGATAATTAGGTAAGTACGTTATCAAAATTTGTTTATCATGACTTGCACTAAGCTTACAGCCAATATAAGTAATGTGTTATTACTTAAATTAATTACTATTTTTATATATTTATGGGATAGGTCGATACACGAGCAGAGGGATTACCTGATGGTAAGCAATCGGCAAATCGGCACTCGTAATTCCAAATAACTTACTATAAGTGGGTTGCCGATCTTTTTTGTGGATAAGGATTGGGCCTCTTTTACTCACACGGCGAAACAGATGGGACTCGAGGTGGCGCTCCACAAGTCCGAGGCCATGTGCTTCTATGGCCGTCGGAGCGCGCCACCTCCAGGTGGGTCCCAAGTAACGGCGGGAGGAGTTACCATCGGCGTCGAGTCGGCGATGAAGTACCTGGGTCTCGTCCTCGACAGCCGATGGAACTTCACGGAGCATTTTTGTCGTTTGGCCCCTAAGTTGGAACGGTCTGGGGCCGCGCTCAAGCGGCTCCTTCCCAACCTCGGGGGGCCAAACGCCTCCTGCCGGAGGTTGTATATGGGGATTGTGCGATCCATGGCCCTCTACGGTGCCCCTGTGTGGGCGCCGGACTTGAAGCGGCGGCCGGCTCGTACGCTGGTCGCGTCACAGAGGGTCATGGCTATACGAGTAATCCGCGGGTATCGCACGATCTCCGGGGAGGCGGCGAACCTCCTTGCCGGATCACCGCCGTGGGATCTAGAAGCGAAGGCGCTCGCGCGCGTCTACAGTTTGCGCGCAGACGCGCGTCGCCGGGGCGAAGATCCTCTGCCGCGCCAAATTAGTGCGTGGCGGAATGAGCTCCGGCGAGATCTCATGGCAGAGTGGAGACAACGACTGTCGCAACCGAGGGCCGGGCACGCTACCATAGCAGCGGTAAGACCCCTCTTTGAGGAGTGGCTTGAGAGACGCCACGGCGTCCTCACCTTCCGTCTGACGCAGGTGCTTGCCGGGCACGGCAGCTTCGGTAGGTTCCTGTTTCGGATTCAGCGGGAGGAAACGCCCGAGTGTCGTCATTGTGAGGACCACCTAGAGGATACGGTGGAGCATACGGTAGCGGTATGGTGCCTGGGCTGAGCCCCGCCGTATCCTCAGGGAAGTGATCGGCGGCGGCGACCTCTCGCGCCCGGCCTTAGTCGAGGCCATGGTGCGGAGTGAGAGGAACTGGGACGCCGTCTCCTCCTTTTGTGAAGCAGTCATGCTCGCAAAGAGAGAGGCGGCCCGCGTGAGGGAGCAATCCTCCTCCTCACGCCCCAGCAGCCGCAACTGGCGACACTACGGGCGTCGGGGATTGAGGGACGATCTCCGGCCACCGTAAGTACGGGCCTGCGGTCGGCGAGTAAGGGCAGCTCGCCGCCCGACCAGAACCAGGCCCGAGCGTACGGCGCGTAGCGTTCCGCGCGCGCCTCAAAGAGCCAATAGACCACCACAGACGGCCCTAAAGGGCTGATGTTCAGCCGGGGTTGCGGGGTAAGCGCAATGAGGTACCGCGACCTCGGCACAGAGCAGGAGAAGGAACAGGGGGGTTTTTAGTCAGTGAGAGTCTGACACCCCCTCCTGCCCGGCCCTGGGCGGGAGAAGTCATTTTGATGATTTTCCCCTCACAAAAAAAAAAAAAAAAAAAAAAAAAAAAAAAAAAAAAAAAAAAAAAAAAAAAAAAAAAAACGGCGAAACAGAATGTAAGTATTATTTTACTGAGGCCGTGAAATCACTCCGGTCGAGCCGACCCATTCGTGCAGAAGCATGGCTCTCCCACACTTATGATTTCTTAAAATTATGCTACTAAAGTCTACTATTCAAGTTTACGCGATCATATAAACTGTTCGTAACGTTCATGAATAATCTAGTCTAGGCAAAAGTCAAACGCTTGACCCAATTCGAAAAAAAAAATACTCTGGCAGCGAATAAGCAGGAATCGATACAAATCATCAAATCAATCGTCAATTATGAAGATAAGAACAAAAATACAAATCGTCAATTATGAAGATAAGAACAAAAGTTTTTATAAGGATTTATAATTTGTCATATAATCTTTTTAAAGTTAAACGGGAAACGCTACGAGTTTTAAGCATACACAAAACTATTCACGGTCGAATAGATTCTCGAGAACTGCACCCTGAGTTACTTTTTGGATCTTTGCTTCTGACAATGACTGACGCAGCAGCAAGCACCAGTTCTTAGCCATACCATCCTGCAGAATGGTTAGTAGAGCAAGATCTCCATTACGATACGCAATGAAACTTTTAAGTACCAAATTACTGGATGCAAAGCCAGAGTGTGATGTGTCCTTGAGCGAAAGTTGAGAAGAATACTTGAAATTTTAGCGAGAGAGATCGCTAAAATTTCAAGTATTCTTCTCAACTGAGTTAATACAGCAATAATATTGTGTTATAATTTTATATTTTTTTCTTTTACTCATGTGCCTATATTTGCTTTAGCTTTTGCACCGTGCTATTCAAATAAATAAATAATTTTGTTTTTTATCACTTTACCAACGCGTTAAGTGAATAAAATTCAAAAATTAATTACCTGAGCGAAACCAATAACGAGGAGTAATCCGAAGAAGTACGGCCGAAGAAGGACGGCCATGTTGGAGACACAGACAGTGGCTGTTATGATTTCAACTATTTAATGTATTTATAATCCAGTCCAACATCGTCAGAGGATTAGTAGATAATACTATCGTTATGTAGCTTAACTTACTGATTTAATTTCCTTATCTATAGACTATGGTATAATTCATATTTTATGTAAATCATTCGTTGTATTGTTTTCACTTAGTAACCGACGAAGTTAGGTGTATTAGATACATGTTCAACCTTTTAAAATTAATGTTTTACTGACGATTACCTATCTTTAAAAAGCATATGATGTCTCTAACTTTTTTTTTTGAAGGTCAGTGGTTCGCCAATAACATAGGTATATGGATATTGATCACCCGATAAGCAAGCGTTGCCCATGGACACACCTAAGTGCAGAATATTTCTGAATGCGTTGTCTTTTGGGTGTTAGGAATTAAGTATTTGGGGTTTTTGGGAATTGCGAATGCTTGGTGGAAGGGCGGGGATTAGGCCTCACAAACGCAACGCAAACGATCTCCAGGGTTGCGGGGCAAGCGCAATAAGGCACTGCGTCCTCGACCTGGAGCTGGAGAATGAATGGGGTGCTTTTTAGTCAGTATGGGCCTGACACTCTCTCTCCTCACCCTAGGCGCTAGCAATCATTGAATGATTTCCCGCCCTTAAAAAAACGGTATTTTGAGGGCGGTTTTCTTTAACCTACCTAATACTTATAATTCATCCTAATAAAATATCCTAAAAAACCTAATAATCATCATCTCTATGCCTTATATTGTTTTATGTCTGTATGATGGAGTTCATTTTTTGCTTCTATACTCATTTCATTTTTCGTAAAAGAAAAACTTATTTTTTCTTAAAAGAAAATCTTATCTTTTTTCTTCTGAATGATATATTGATGTAAATTATATGATATAATCGCGTCTGCGCGGAATAATGTTTGTATAATTTATATAATACAATACAACCAAAATTTTTTAATGGAAAATACAGAATTCAGGTTGTAATTGGTTGGCTCATTCGTATTTTTTTTAATCCTAAATATTATTGTCTTTTATAATGTTTATTCAAAACATTTAGACTGTAACAATGATGGACAGTAATATTATTATTATATTCTTCGCACGGGGCCAACAATCTCGTTACCAACGAAAGGGTTACATTTTTACAATATTCCTCTCTACTTTTCTAATACATATTTTCTTTAATAAAAACCTTCTCCTGACCATAATAAATACAAAAAAATGGTCCAGGTGTCGTTAAGTTATGCGCTGACCAACAATTTTGCGATTCATTTTTATTTACGGTATAAAACGGGGTGAATATAATTTGAGGCGTGAATGATACACGAAAGGGGTGAAAACATACTAGAAAAATTCGCTAATATCTATAATATAAACATATAAACATTATTGGACAAAGTGATATTTACACATTAAGGTCATAATTTTAGTTAACAAAACTTATTTGTTGGTTCTCGCCGTCGCCATCAGGCGTGGTCTCCAGGTCCTCAACGTTCCAGTCGAAGTTGATGCCGGTCTGCTTCTCTATCCAGTCGTGGTAGTACTCCGGGCGGACGTGACCTGGTGGAAGAGTTAGTAGATTTCAAATAAAATATAAGCCATGTAACTTAATAAAGTTTTTCGGATTGATAGATACTTTTTTAGAAGTAATTTAATTTACATTAAGTGCAAGGTGATTTTTAAGAATGTAGTCTATAGCTTTTTATTGAACATTGTTATTAAGAGTTCCGTTGTGACTTGAAACCAGTGGAACTTTTGCTAATTAATTCACGCGAGACCTAAGTCGTTATAATTTAATTTTATATAAGTAGTTATTATAAATTTAAGCACATTTCACGATAGTTACAATTCAAAAACATTGTTTCAAAACTACAATTTTTGTGCAGTGTGGGAATGAAACCCACGACCAAGTTGCATAGCACACGGCTGCCGAGTTGCAAATTAATAATTATTAGGTTCCACCCGCGGCTCGTTTAGTTCTATATATCCTATAGATATTCCAAATTTCAACCAAATCGGTCCTGCCCACTGCCTTTTGTGCATGTAAGAATAATAATTTAGCTGACAAAGACATTTTCCCATAATTAGATTTCAAATGTAGGCAAAGTAAATACTGGAGTGTTGATGCTAAAAGTGTCCACACAGGAACGGAATACTTATAAACGTTTTTTTTCTTACCTGACGGGTTGTGAGTGTTGCAGCCGCGAGAGGAACCGAAGCTCATGATGCCGATCTGTGTGGGCTTGCCGTCCAAGTCTACTATGGTTAGAGCACCGCCACTGTCACCCTGGGTACAAAGTTAAAAGGGGGTCAGGAAAGATGTTGAAGTAAAGATGGTTATGGTATACGACTTCAAGATTACAATATTTTAAGGCTTTTTATGCCCACCGTGCAAGGGTTCTGGCTGGTGTTGAACTGGCATTGTAGAACTGAGCGCAGACAGTCTTCCGATCGTGAATGACCTGACTGCGAGGGTACCAGGAGCGGCAGACCAGCATTGAGATGCCACGCTGATAGGTCCAGTATAGGATGTCGGGGACGATACCACCTGCAGAAGGATTTGAAAACATTGTTGAACACATTATGAGTTCAATGATTTTAAGTTTCTTTGTGTGATGATGATAACTTCCTAATTATTTTTTATTAAGCTTATAATGGAATTGCTAGATAGCACACGATGCCATGCTTCAAAGTTCAAGACCTAAATGCGTAGGAAAAGTCTCTTTTTGGAAAGAATGTGTGTATCTGAAATGAATAATATCTGTATGTAATAATGAATAATATATATAATATCTGAAAGCTTTTCGGAATGAGTGTCAAGAATTGTTGAGCGAATGCATTTTTAGAACTAAAGTTATAACAGATTTTGCATAGTTACATATTTTAAACTAATTATTTCAATGCGGATAAACAAAATATTATTGTTGAATGAAAAATGAAAGGGACATTATCAGTCATATAAATTCTTTATAACGTTATTAGGTTATAAAGAATTTATATGACTATTTTTATAACTTAACGTTATTTAAATGAATAGCCATAAAATCAGTTTTTTTTGGAAGCATTCATAAATTCTTTCATTTAAACTATAAGCATCGGAATAACGGCTTAAAATGAAAATGAGCGAGAGAGCTGGAGTCTGCTAAGAGTTTTGACGATGACGTCATGAAGCCGACCGGCTCAGGGATTGATAAAACAATAGACAGTCGTACCAGCCCACCAGTCATCGGTACGTCCATAACCGCTTTGCACCAGCTGCAGGTTGGTGTATTCCTCCTCGTTACGCTGACTGCTCTGGATTCTGATTGGCTGGATGTAGTCTGTGGATGAAGAATGTAGAATATATTGTTTAAGTCAATGACGTATTATATATAGACACGTCATGAACCAACATCGCGGCGCTTAAAAACGGCGAAAATACTAGATAACTACTTCTACGAGTAAAGAAAGGGAAAGAAAATATGACATCGTATTGTGGAATGCCTTTGCTAGAGGGAGATAAATATACATCTTCAGTTATGCCGACGGCACGTGACTATACCTTCATGCGCCGGCCGCCATAAGATGGCGGGCGCCGGCGTCGAAAAAAAAAAAATAAAAATAGGTTGTTTGGTGAACTTACGCATGAAATGACACATTTTTGTCTTTAACTTTTGGAGTATAATTTGTACATCGTCTGAACGCACACGACGGCATGCTTTCTTTATGTTTCGCACAGGTTTACACACACGATATAAATTAAACACAAACGTAGCGTCGCGCGGCAGGTTAGTGCGTAACTGAGCGCGATGTTGTCAATTGCCTTCATTTCATGTTGTCATTTTAGAGCGCGGACAACGTATCTATAGTTTTATACATCATTGGTTTAAGTACCATAATTTCAGCTCATCATTTCAGATCTATATAGATAGATAGACTGATGCCTGAGGTTTTGGTTTATTAAAGAGCGCTGCTGACTTGTTACTGTTTAATATACTTTTGCCGCCATCTGCACATAGGTGCATAGATTTATAAACACATTGGGCTGTTTTTGGGGTTACGGGTCAAGCGCATTAGGTACTTCAGGCCAAGGCCGTAGCAAAGTACAGCTGTACTGGAGCGGGAGAAGGACCACTCAGGGCCAGAGAAGTTTTCTGATAATTGTCGTCCTCAAAAACCATGTTAAAGTTGGATAAAGATTTTTGGTGCTCAAATTTTTGTCACCTGCGCGGACACAAGTCACACTTATATGTGACACAGAAATTTGAAATGCGGTGGCTCTAGTGTTAGATACTGCAAAAGTGGTAATTTATTAATTTTGATTACCCACCTCCATAAGGTATGTAACGGTCCAGTTTCAGCACTCCAATATCATCAGTCTGCACTGCAGTGTCTTCTTGGTCGTAACCCTCGTGGATATACTTCTCTGTCGCTTCCACCATGTACCCAGGAGTTGTTATGTCCACCTGGCCTAGCCGGACTACAAAAGTGAAGCGCCTAGAAATCAAAAAGCCGTATTTGGGTATAAGACTCACAAGTGGGGATAAGAGAACCTACGAAAGATTGGCATTAATGCATTTAGGTTTTCTGGTTTTATTCGATAAGTTAGTTTAAAAAGATGATATGATTGATTAGCAAAAGCTGATTAAACATGTACCTGGCTAGACAATGAGCAGCAGTGAGGATCCATTCATTGGTGAGGATGGAACCAGTACATGCACCTACGCCGCCTGTGGGCCCAACCATACGAATGCTGACGGTGTAAGGGAACTGTCCGTTTACAGCTTCCCAACCGCTCACGATTCTAGACCCTAAAATAAGATTATATTTAAATCGTTATTAAAGGTCCATTGACTCAATCAAAATAGTATGCTACACCAAAAAAATATTTATTACCTCGAAGAGAATCATCGATATATGCGATTTCAGGCTCTACTGGTTCGCACTGGAATTTAAAAAAGTAAGTATTTCAGAAAGTCAAAATCATATATTCCAACTAAACCATAAATAGAATACTAGTCTGTCTTTGTCAGTATGTATGTCAGTGAAGCTAGGTGCTCGTTTCAAATTATAGGCACGAGCAAGACACTCCATCGTCACTCTTTTTTTTCTTTTTACAGGTTCACTGACACATTATTGGGTACAAATTACTGTACACATACGTAAGAAAAATACAGAGAACAAGAATAAGGAAGGTGTGGTTTTAAGTCAGCAAGAGTCTGACACTCTGTTCCTTCTTCAGTTCCGAGCCTAGGCCGCGCCTAAACGCAACCAAGGCAGATTATTATTATTTCAAATCATGGTGGTGTACTATGTACTATCGAGTGTAGATATATATTTTATCACTTACTTAACATATCTACCCTTATTTTATTAAATGAATACAAGGACGTACTCAAAAAGGAAAGTAATGCCTACCTGAGCGAAACCAATGATCAGGAGCAATCCAAAGTAGAGCAGGCCGGCCATCTTGCGAACACAATCTGAGGATCTCAAATTTTGGCTGTAGGTATATATGCGTTTTAATCCGAAACACTTCGTTAGGGGCTTAGCAGATAATCATTATCGGACGGTAATCAATTTATAATATTGACAGCCCGGTAAATTCATTGGTTTTAATGTTTTTATCAATCACTGCGGACATTTAAATTGAATATCTTAAGTAGATGGGTGCGGGAAATTTGAAATCAGCGATGTTTTACAGAGAAAGTTCGCAGAAAATCGACGTGAAACAATGTTTTCGTTGTGCTTTGCTGTGTGAGAGGTTACCTGAAGACAAATCTTCCACCACCTGGTCTAAATCATAGATTTTTTCAACCTTTTACTTCTAAATTGTAAAAAAAAAACATCTATATGATTTAGGATTTTTTTATGGGACACGCCCGCCGCAACCTCCCTACACCGCCGCAACTCCTGTAAGCCAGGATCGATAGTAGATACAACTATGAAAACACCAGAACACTGAAATCCGGCACGAATGAGTGTTATGGATCCCGCAACGAAATAAATTGAAGATTTTATTTGAGGGGAAGAAACAACTAAATAGTTTCCACTTCCCTCGGTAAATTTAATGCAGGAGACAGAATGAATTAGGCCTTAAAGGCACAGAAGAGACTGTACAACTGGGACAAGAGCAGTCACCAAACACCACGGAAAATTTTGTATTGTTATTGTAATGGGCTATCTATGTGTGAGCTGCTATAGTAATGCAAGATTTTAGGATTCTAAGTTTTCGTCTCTTTTAATTTTAATCATCAAAAGATGATATTTTACTTGTTTAACTCCACGAGTAGTGCGGGAGAGCTGGCTCACCCGTGATACCACGTCCCTGCAGAGATCCCGTTGTGATTCGCCGTGTGAATTTGGTTAATGGGGCCGAATTACCCCTTCTATCCCCAAACCCCAAATCTTTAAATCCCTATCAACCATTCAAAAGGCTCTATTCTAAAGTTCTCTATTTTGGTGTTGCGAAAGTCAAAGGACGACGCCACTTGTTTACCAAGGGCTGATAAATCTGCTTATTTGCAGACCTTTCTTTTGGTATTGGTTCAGTAAATTTGCTTTAAAGACACCATGCCAACAACAACTTGGAATCTTTGTATATCGCTATCATATATTAGTTAACGATATCCGTTAATTGAACCGTGCACGATATGCCCAATTAGTTTAAGCCAATAATCAGTTGTGCTACATTATAAACACTACCTACTATCTACTAGTAATGACTTGTGGGATTTAGTTTCGCTACATTAACGGCTAAGGTTGTTTTGTAGGAGATTGGTGAGACGATAATTTTGTAAATATCATATTTTTGTAAACTTTGTGTCTAGTCTTGTGTAGATTAATATATCACCGCTAGTATATGACATGACGTGTCTTGGTGGCCTGGAGGTTAAGGAGCCCGCTTCTCATGCATGAGGGTGTGGGTTCGAAACCTGGCAAGTACCAATGTGACTTTTTCCGAGTTATATGTACTTTCTATGATTATTTAGACACCACTGACATGCGATGAAGGTAAACATCGTGAGGAAACCTGGACTTATAATTTTTAATTATAAGTTTGAAATCGCCAACCCGCATTGAGCAAGCGTGGTGATTAATGCTCTAACCTTCTCCGTATGAGAAGAGGCATTTGCTCAGCAATGGGCACTTATAGGCTGATGATGATGATATGACATGAGAGTATACCTATTTTTTGTGTTTGGGAGCCATGCTCCGGCACGAATGGTTCGCCTCGACCGGACTGATATGACGGCCTCACAGAAAATTGGCGAGAAGCAAAATTCACGTTGTGTTTCGCCGTGTGAGACAGTGTCATATCGGTAGCCCATTTCTTCCTCTCTCCTGTTAGTGTGGCAGTGGCAGTCGGTTGACCAGCCACCGCATCAAGTGCGCAGCCAATCAAAATCAATGTCAATAACGCGTAAAGCAGAAAATAAAACACAATTGAAAATATATTCAATATATTTATATTTTACATTCTAAGTAAGTTCTGTACAATAACATTAGGTACTAGATATCACAACAGATTTCATAATAAATACACTTTCTGACAAAAAAACTGCTCACATATCTACTAATATTTGTATTAAGCAATAAATTAGATTTAATCTTAATATTCATTATTTCTTTGCTGTAAGCTAAAACCTTCTTATTCAGTATGCACGTAGGTTATCATAAAACTATGTCTTTTATTCCATAAAAGGTTAAGGCACAGATGCATTAAAATTATTTACTTAAAACACAGGTCATTCTTTTCCTTTCTGTATTTTTTTTTGTCTTTTTTTGTAGTATAAAGCGGGCAGATAAGATGACGGATCGCCTAATGGAACGCAATTATTACCACTCATAAAACAACAATAAAGTTGCAAGTGCGTTGCAGACTATTTGGGGGTTAGGGATTGAGAGATTGGGGAGTAAGAAATCGGGAATAGAAGAGGTATAGTATAGTGTAGTGTATTGTAGTTTAGTGTAGTATAGTGTTGTGTAGTGTAGTGTAGTGTAGTCTAGTGTAGGGTAGTGCTGTAGCATATATAAAGTATAGCATAGTTTGCTATTACTTGATTGCACGGTTGGTGAGGTGGCCTGGGCAACTGGCTGCCGTGCAACGTGACCATTTCTTTGTGTGATCTACAAATTGTTGTTCCGGGTCTGGGTGTGATGTGTATGTGAAATTGTATGTAACCGCAACCACGACACAGGCGAATATATTAGTGTGAGATAACGTTTTTTTTAAAAAGGAAAAACGAGAGGTATGTTAAGTATGATATAGAATATTATAGCATAGTATAGTACAATATAATATATCAAGTATAGTACAGTATATATAAAGTAATACAGTGTACCGTCGAATCGGCGCTGCCAATTCCATACCATTGCACTTGCAGACTTTTTTGGGGCTAGGAGGGGTTAAGGTTAGGAGAGCGATATAGTATTGCGTAAACGTACTGTAATGTAGTTGTAGTGTAGTGTAGCGTAGTGTAGTGTAGGGTAGGGTAGGGTAGAGTTGTCTAGTGTAGAGAAGAACAGTATAGTTCAGTCAAGACTCGTATAGTTTGATGTGGTATAGTGCGGTAGAGTGTAGTATTGAGAAATATTAGAATTAGCAAGTTTTTTTGAAAAAAATACAGATTACAATAGATTGACCTGCTGTCCTACATTTGTAGTAACTCTACCTTTTTTTAGATGGGGTAAGCTTAATGCGAATCACCGGCCACAATCGGGTACTTCTCAGATAGTCAATTTCAATACCTTTTTTCAAACAGTCACAATTGGCTGCCACGAGATTGTTTTGTGACGTCACGTCATAAAATTTCGCGTCAAATAGCAACCTTATATCTTGAACATTAGGTTGTAAATTTGACCGGTAAGGATATCGTAAAACCAAGAATGAAAGTGTTATTAATATTTAAATATTTACCTTTATTGTTAAAGTTGGAATAATTTATTTCTGACTAAATAAATTATTCCAATTTTAAAATAAACAGCTGATTTTTCAATGTTTAGATAAAAGTTACCTGGGAAACAATTATGATGCTGTCGCATCAGAATGTTTATGTAAGACAGTGACAGCCACATTTTTACACCTCAGATAACATTTTGAAAATCAGCCCTAAGACAAGTACCTACTCAATTGTATCGGTAGCAAATCTGGCTGATGGTATCATCATAGTCTTACGGCCGGTTTCCGAAAGGTCGATCAATGTTAAAATCAATTTAATCTCTTGTCAAGTCATCTGATTGGTTGACTGAATTATCAACAACCAATCAGATGACTTGACAAGAGATTTAACAGGATATTAGTTAACTTTAGCGTTGACAAGCCTTTCAGAAACTGGGTGTTAATCCACTTGCTACATAAGCTTTATCACAGCTGCTGTGAGGACCATGTAGGACATTATTTCACTCCCTCTTTCCTCTCTAAGTATTCAGAAAGTTTTTTATTGTATATGATAGATATCTACATATGTATATATATGTTTCTCCGGCTTTTCATCCCCAGATCAAGATTAGTCAATGAACAAAGCAGTGTTTTAATTGATTATTATAATATTTAAAGTACATATTTCTCCTATATTCGATTTGTTTTTACAAAACATTTAAGTACTAGTATTGCTTTTACTAAAATTACGTATTTAATATGCATTTTACTATGTATAAATAAGCAATGATTAAAAAAATACATTCACAGCTTAATATTTCATTTATAATAACATATTTTTTTGTATTACATCAAGGGAGCTGTCAAACGGACTGCAACGCAGCATAGGGGGCGCTGTCGCTAGAAACTATTGCTGGGGGGTGTTGACAGACTTATAATTTTACACCACAAAGACCCAAAACAACAAAATTTCATCTCTGGCTTTGAACCATGACTAAAAGAAGTCAAACGTACAATCCGATAGTTTCCAACAACTCAAATTCAATACTTTAATTGAAATGTCAAAATCTATACTTTTCTATGAAACAGCACGTTGTGACGTCATCATTTTTTACGTCAAATACCGTACTTATTTATCTTGAATAGGCTAAGAAAATTAAAGTATATTGTAAAATTAATTAGTGAATGAGTGATTCTTTTTATATTACTATGATTTTATAAGTTGAAATTTTAAGACTAGGTACCCAACGAAAATCCAGTTGAAATTTACCGTTGACTTTGGGGAAAGTTGATTTAAAGCGAGTCCATGATATATTGGTTTTTAATATATCGTCTGTGTGCAGTTCGTCAGATAGCACCCATACATTTAAAACAAAAGTTTACTAAAATAAATAATCATAATATAATAAGTACACATTTTTAAGTAATTAATAATAAAAATAATCTATGACACTATATATTGTACGAGAATAACAGCACAGTTTGATTATAACACATTATTAATATGTTTAAAGCCTGATTCACAATCACCGATTAGGTTTAACCAATTGTTTTTATTTGACGTAGGTATCTTTAATACATATAATCACTAGCAAGCGACCCGCCCAGGTTGCGCAAGGTAAATTTCTCCACTATTCAATGGATGGATACATATAAACCTTCCTCTTCAATCACTCTCTCTATTAAGAAAAACCCGCATTAAAATCACTTGCGTAGTTTTAAAGATTTAAGCAAACATAGGGATAAAGGGACAGAGAAAGCGACTTTGTTTTATACTGCGTAGTGAAATTTGTTTTACATCACTAATCCTTAGTCGAGTTTCGTGATCCATTTATGGTGAGCAATCAGCGCCGCCCATGGACACCCACAACGGAGGAGTAACGAGTGCGTTGCCGACCAATTGAAATTAGAGATTTGGAGATTTAGGGACTGGGAGGGATTGGGGAAGGGGAAGGATTGGGCCTCCGGTAACCTCACTCGCACATGGCGAAACACAACGCTGTGGTTGTTTTAACGCCGGTTTTCTGTGAGGCCGTGCCATTCGTGCAGAAGCGTGGTTCTTCCACACTGAAACATGTGACCCCTAACACCATAGGAGCGAGAAGCACATGGCTGGGCTTAAAGGAGGAAATAACGCCTACGACAATTAATACCGTTTTGCTGAGCGAGACAGAAAGAATTTTCCACGAAACTTTCTGTTAAACTGAAAATCTAATCAATTATTGTGAAACAGACCGTTAAACATCTCTTAACATTAACAATAAAATAATTTTATTACTATTTTAAGTATCCGATATATTGGTAACATATTTTTTATTGGATAAAAATTGTGGGACTACAAAGTCCTTTGTAGAGGCTGTATTTTGAGTTAGTCTTAAAATGCTTAATATGTATAATTTCGTACGAAATTGGGTATGCGACTAAACAGTTTTGACAGTTTTATGTTCAATTAATACACATGATTAAAAATATGTTGTGGTCATGCACTTTTTGCATCAATCATAATATAGGATAGATATTCGATATCATATATCGAATAGTATATTTCAAAATCAATTAATACAAGCGTATATTTTCAGTATCTAAGTAAGTCGAAATTATTTATTTTTCACCAAGTCAGATACCCAAGCAGAAAATGATATTCTGTACGGGAAGTTTTATGCATTTGAGATATTAGTTATCAACTGATCCGATAGATGTCAGTATTTCAAATTTTGTTTACAAATACGTGTTTTTAAATATTGTTTATTATTTCGTAATGCACACATAAAACTCCCCATAAATAAATATTCAATACAAATCAAAATAGATTTTAAGACAATGCTGTTAATGTTTATACTGCCTATAGTTATTGTATAACTAAGCCATAAATAAATTACTATTATTTATTATTTTATTTTTTTATTTACCCTGTAATTTCTTACTGAACTTCACTTATTTATAACTGGATTTATAATAGGAACTAGGAATTGTAGGAATTTTACGAGGATTTAGGTAAAATTGCGTTTTTGGGATGGATCTTGGCAGAATGGCATATTTATATTTAATACATGTCAATGCGTTATGTTACGAAAAAAAAAATAGTTTGCAAATATTATATATTTATAAAATTTAAAGTCTTTCTGTGGTAAGTACAGAAATCAAATAATTCAAACTTATTTCATATTCTGCCAAGATTTTTAATCATTACTAATTCTTATAAAATAAGATTGTTAGGTAGGAAATAGATAAGTGTCATTTTTTTTAAAAACTCAAAAAGAAAATACCAGGGTAATTTAAAAATAAAAATGGAAATAGGAGACGCAGTATTGTGATTGAGCTAATTGTGTTTAGCTATTATACAACCTATGATCACTATAGTTTACATTTGTACATTGCATTCAGTAATGTGACATCTGTCAACTGTCAAATAATTCAAATGTCAATGTCAAATTACTGAATGTCAAATGTCATAAGTGTATATTTGACTACTTTATTCCCTAAGGGAATAGGTTTTGGCCTCACGTGGTGACGGTTACTGTGACATGTTTCTTGGATTCTAGATGTCTGTAGAATAACACTGCATCATGCACCGTTGGAAACGTTTCCATTTGTAGAATGTCCGTTTCTATGGAATTGTATCTGTCTATCATTTCTAATACTGGACCTGTGGACAGAAAAAAAATATTTTTAACTTATTACTTTATATCTTTGCATATATGGCATTAAAATTGCTAACTAAGCAAATATTTTTGAATTCAAAGATATGTAAGCCATTTATAAATGTATCATTCTAAATTGTTTTTACACACAAGCAATATTAACACAGAGAATAAAAGTCTATACAAAAACTGGCGCCAAAATTGACATCTGTCAGTCAATGTAAAAGTCTATACAAAAATTGGCGCCAAAATTGACATCTGTCAGTCAATGCCCTATATATAATCTGTTTCATTCAAGAGGTAAAAAAGCCCAGATAACTTAATATTTTGAATTGTTTACCGTTTGCTCCTGCGAGTAGGACAGCTATGTTGTTGGCAACCAACTCTTTCTGTGCGGCCACTAAAGCCTTAATGCCAGGTCCGTCCACGTAAGACAATGCTGTCACATCTATTATCACACAATGTACCTGAAAAGAAACAAATTTAAATGTTACAAAATGATTGAGGCTTGAGAATGACTTAAGTAAAAAGTAGCATGAGTGGGTTTACTGTACAACTTTGGCGATTATTAAACCTTCATCTTGCCTTGTCATACCACAAGAATGATTACGTCAAACGAATGGTGAGAAATTAAATGAATTGTTCAATTATTTATTAATTTATAGCTATCATCTAAATCTAGATTTCATCTTCTTCATCTTTATCTTTGACGTCAATTTTGATTTTGATTTTGACTTTGATTTTGAATTTGACTTTTTTCTGGTAAAGACCCAATGGCGATTCTACCTAAGATAAAGAACATGTGTCAAGTTCATTACGTACCCTACGACTTAAAGTGGGGTCCCACTGGTAAGACTCGCTCTTGGTGAGGTTATTGTCCTCATCACTGACCACCTCTATTGGCTTCATGTAGCCGATCTTGCGGAACAGCTTCTCCCTGAACAAATTCTTCGTGGCAAAGTTTAATCCACCGCAGTAGTGGAAGATCTTGATGCCGGGAAGTTCTTCAGCCTGTTAAAGGAAAATTATAAATAAAAAATGAATAAATAATTTAATTCCATATATAAACCGGTTCTAAGAAAAAGATACAGAAGAATTGGTAGAATTAAAAAAAACTGAGTATTAAATATGTGGGTTTTAAGTATTTGTGAAATTGTATGTTTGCAAAGGTATGCAAACACCGAGACCCGAAAAAAACCAAAAAAAACCTAAAAGTAATTCTTAAAAAAATATTAAAGACGACTGGAGTTTATATATAAATATTAAACCTCCATACATATTAAAAAAGTATCACATAAAAAAAACCAGAAAAAAGAAAAACAAAACGTCACGTCAAATCACGATGCACAGTAAAATGACAAATATCAACATCAATCAAATAAAGTAAACAGCAAAAAAAAAATCGTAAAAGAAAATGTTAAAGGACAGCTGAAACAGCCCTTTTTAAAGAAGGGCTAAATAAAATGCGATTAATATCGGACAAAACGTACGCTTACTCGTGCAACTATGAGATCGGGCTTAGCGACTTTGTTAAGTGGATCATTTTTACTTTCATCTATCTGTGCGCTATGTGTGTCGCCCAATTAATAATTTTAAACATCTACAATGACAATGAAATCGATATCGTCAGCCGAGGAATGTTACCAAGTGTAAACTAAGAAGACCCTACCATCCAGCATCATGATCTCCATGTATTTCTATTATTGGGTCTGTACAGAGCTGAAGTTGACTCACGATTTTATCTACATTTGAAGTCCTGTTGTGCAATAAATAAAACCTACTGCTGTTTAAAACATTTTGTTTCATTGCTTTTAGTGGATATTTTAGTAAAAACTAATCTCATCTCAAAAAATATGGAATAGGAGGCAAAAGAGCAGACGTGATGTTAAGTGAGTGAGAGAGATGTTAAGTGATCAGCGCCGTCAATGGACACCTGCAACACCAGAGGAGTCACAGGTGCGTTGTCGGCCTTTTAAAAAGGAGTAAGCACGTTTCTTGAGGGTTTTAAGGTCGTATCTATAACTTTCGCGAAAATCGCACAATTATATGATGAGGATGATAAAATAACCGAATAATTCCTCGGAACTCGCCCCAAAGTTTCTGTGAGATTGTTTTCCGCGCCTGAACTTGCAGGACAAAGCCACGCGGGCTATAACCTGCCATTTGGCACCCCACCGCAACCTGGCACTCAAAGAACTCAAGGCCTTATGTGCCATAGGTATCCCTTAAACTGCTCTGTGCCCTTAAACAGTTTCGCTGATTCCATTTTAAGTTACAGTAATGGTGGTAGTTAGTTCAAGCAATGGAAGTAGGATTTCTGCATAATATATTCTGCCCTTTTTTTCTTAGGAACAGAATTCAAGGTTCTACGCTTATTAAATGCCACTTACCGCTCTGTATCTCTTGATATCGAGGTACAGGTCTGTGTCCAAAACTTTTCCTAGAAGACAGGTGTAGGGGTTCTGCGAACGAATGAACAATGCTCCCACGCTAGCTAGAAGACCAGCTCCCAGACTGAAAAGAATTTTTTCATTCAGATTTATAACAATTTCCGTCAAAGTGAAAAAAGTATTGTGGTTTTCTATCATTTTAACGTTATTAGATATATATAGTTGTTGTATTATGGGAGGTGGGAAGTATAAAAAATAAATATACTAATTTCACATAGTAAACAATGCTAATTTTGTTAAAAGCTACACATAAAGGGCTACTTGGAAAAAAAACAAGAATAAAAACAATTTTTATTTAACCCATTTCAAACATAAAAAATGAACAGTGGACTGTGCTCAATAATATTGAGCACAGTCCAATATTAGAGCATGGTCCTACAGATCTGATCACCCACTGACATAGGGTGAAAGAAAAATATCCTGAGGAAACCTGTACTAATAATTTCTAATTATAAGTTTGAAATCGCCAATCTGCCTTGAGCAAGCGTGGTGATCAATGCGCAAACCTTCTCCGTGTGAGAAAAGGCCTTTGCTCAGCTATGGGCACTTATAGGCTGATGATGTGTAGATACGGTGGTTACTTCAACCCCAAGAGTTTATTGAAACGGAGAATCCGAAACCTAGTTTCCTTAGTCCTGCATACACTTACCCAATATCGATGTTGATGCATAAGGTGATGAGGAATGTGACAAGCCATACCAGAGCATCCAGCTTACTTAGAGCCCAGAACCTGGAAATGGATAAATAGTAATTATCGACAACATTGGACATTGGGATTTGCTGGTGTAATAGGGCAGTTTCCAACTACAATTATCTAAATTCAATAATTTTTACGAAATGTCAAAAAAATGTGAAATCTTTTATTTACCTACTGTGTATAAAATAGTGCGTCGTGACGTCATTATTATACGTCAAAAAGCATAGTCAAAGTCAAAGTCACACTTAAATCATTTATTTCAAATATACCTCTGTACAATTTTGAACTTTTATCTTGATAATAAAAAAAATACAAATATGAAAGTAGATCATTATATCAATAAGTAAAGAGGTGTCTATTTTTAAATTTTATTATGGTTTTAAAATTTGATATATTTTTCTTTGACTGAGAAAACTACTTAATTCGAAAATACTAAGATTTAAAACCAAACGGTACTTACTTCTTAAGCTCGAAGATTTGCATGAACATGCCTTTGAGTGATACAACGATGATGGAAGCGAGCACACAGCGAGGCAGCTGCTCAAAGAATGGTCCGATCCATAGCAGCACGAATAGAATGAGGGTTGCACTTACTACCGAGGTTATACCAGTTTTAGCACCCGCCTGGAAACAAGAAAAGGAAGTTAGGAACCATTCTTTGGCATGGAATGGGCGGGGTCGACCAGAGTAATACCCTGAAAATCGGCGAAAAGCCTCGACTAGAGTAATACCAGAGCTTCATAGATAATCGGCGAGAAACAATGTTTGTGATGTGTTTCGCCGTGTGAGTCAGGTTACCAGAGGCCTATCCCTTTCCACCATGCCAAAATTCACAATTTTTTTTTATGGTGTAAGTAGGCAAACGAGCTGTCGGATTACCTGATGGTAAGCAATCGGCGAAACACAACTGTTGTTGTTTCACGCCGGTATTCTGTGAGACCGTGGTATCACTCCGGTCGACCCGACCCATTCGTGCCGAAGCTTGGCTCTCCCACACAATATTTCCTAACAATCCCCTAAAGCCAGCAACGCACTTGTAGCTCCCCTAGTTTGGGTGTGTACATAAGCGGCGGGGATTGCTTACCAACAGGTAATCCAGCAGCTCGTTTACTGTTCTATCACATGAAAAAAGATAATTGTATGAGGCTAAGACTCCGGCAGGAATGGGCCAGCTCGATCAGAGTGATTACAGGGCCACAAAGAAAATCTGCGAAAAACGTTTGTGTTTTGTTACGCCGTGTGAGTGACGTTACTAGAGGCCTAATACTTTCCTCCATCCCCAAATTCTCAATGTTCTAGTTCCTAACAATCCCCAAAAGCTGCCAATGCACTAATACCTCCTGTGAGTGTCCATGGGTGACGGTGACGCCATATGCTTACCATCGGGTCATCTATCGGCTCGTTTGCTGACTTATGCCATGAAATATGTGTGTGTTTAAGACAGTCTATTGATTTATGCCAAATCTTATCAGATTTTTTTTTGGGCAAATCTTGGGTAAGATTCTTATTTTCACTAGCATAATTAATTTATGATTATTAAAAAAATAAATAAAAACATGTGCAATTCGGCATTTTTTTTATTTTTAAAATAGGTAATTATGGTTTTTATTTTAATTATTTGCTATTTTATGCTTTGTAAAAACACTCACCTGATACTGAATGTAGGATCTCGAAAGACTGGCACAGAATGGAGAACAGCCGAAGAATGAGGCAAACATGTTGCTAGCACCCTGTACATAGATGAAAGATCAAATAGTAAAACTTATCAAAAAAAGTTTACTTTCAAATAAGGCATTTGAAATAATATATTTTATTATTTTTATACATTTTGCCGTGTTTAAGGATAAAAGCAACATTATCATATAATATAAGAAAAAAAAAACAGAAAAAATAGCAACATTGTCATTTAATAAAATTACACTGGCAACTTGACATTCCATTTTCAAAAAAGTCGTTATTTTTAAGCTATCAATTAACTGCAGTTTACTTACCAATGCCAATAATTCCTGGTTGGCATCAACTTCATACTTGTCCTTGGAGGCGAAAATAAGAGCCATAGACATGGATATAGTGTAGGTCACCATGGTAATTGTAAAACAGTCGATAGCAATGTCCGGCATAAGCTCTAGGGGTGGCACTGTTGGCTTCGGAAGGCTAGAAATATAATTTTGTTCAAATTAATAAGGTAGTTTCCAATTGGTCAAATTAAATACCTTTATTCAGACGTCAAAAACATTAATTTTCTATGAAACTGGAAATTATGAATTCATAGTATTTATGCGTCAAATAGCTTATGTAGGTACTTATTACTAAAAATAGTAAAATAATATCCAAAATTTTGTGTATCGACAGATCGATGAATAATCCTTAATTTAATGTACTTATAGTTATTTATCAATATTTTATTACTTATAATGAAATGTCGAATTAATTTACTTTTGACTTAGGAACCTTCTCAGTTGATATTTATATGAATATGAGTTCCGGTGTGACTTGAAACTAGTCGAGCTTTTCTCGAATAGATCAAGTGAGTAACCCGTTGATTTTAATTAATTTGGCATGTTCCAAGATAGCATAATTGTGCAAAAACTTCAAAATTATTTCAACCAATTAAACAAATAAACCTCCTGTTTTTTGTTGTTGGATATTACCACCTGCCATGCAATGAGGTTTCGAGTTCAGTATACAATGGGTAAAATTCTCTTCAATTTTTGAAAATTCTTGGTAATTGCACGGAATATGGAATAATTCCCCTATAGGACCCTACGGGACACTGCACAGGAACAGTTATGGTAAAACCGTTGAAAATTGAACGATACAATTTTACAATTAATATAGTACAGATAACTTTTACTTCACTTAATTTTTTTTGGTTTCATTTGATGGTGTACTTACCCAGTAGGAATGTTTCCAACCAGACCGATGCCGTAGGTCTCGCGGAGATGGCCGAACCTTGAAGCTAATGTACCAATCACAATGGCCAATAACTCTATGGGGACTGGAATACGGGATCTTTTGCTCACCCATGGCTGAAAGACAAGGAAAAATTATTATCATGTTTTTTATGAGATATGTCGGCAAACAAGCTGACGGATTACCTGATGGTAAGCAATCAGCGTCGCCTATGGACATCCAGAACAGAGGAGTTACGAGTGCGTTGCCGACCTTTTGAGGATTAGGGATTGCGGGAGGGGAAGGATTGGGCCAGATCCAGTAACCTCACTCACACGGCGAAACATAACGCTGTGGTTGTTTCACGCCGATTTTCTGTATGGCCGTGGTATCACTCCGGTCGAGCCGACCATTCGTGCCGAAGCATGGCTCTCCCACAATTAAATCGTACTTGTATACTAATGGTATAGACAGATAAAACTTGTAAGAAAGACTTATGTCCCTGGAGACGGTGGCACATAATGGAACGGATTACTACATGGCCAACGCAGTAATACCTCTACTGTTGCGAGGGTACTTGACCACGGTCACCGCTTACCATCGTGATATTTTTATAGCTACTGAATGTATAAAAAAAATATTGAAAATTAATTTACCTTGAGCCTTTCATTATTGAGTGCGATGATGAGGCACGTGATAAATGATATCACAAACGCAGCCCAGTTTAGATTTGGTAGATTCTTACATACTTCTACAAACGTCTGAAAAAAATATTAAAATATTATTACAAATACAATAAAAAAACAATCAGTAGATAATTAATTAATCAGATTGTAATATTTAGTCACGTTGCTATTCGAAAGGATTAACAAACGCGTTATATCTATATCAGTCACGATTAAGGGCCCCGTCACGGCTTGAAACTAGTCGAGCGACCTTGTCAAACAGTTATCGTAGTACTCTGCTGTTGTTTCGAGTCGTAAACATCTTTAAACATACAGAAGACCCGAAAAATGTTAAGAATTATACTTACAAAGATAACTTTATAATTTGGAGATAGTTTGGGGAGTTTCACGCCAAAGAGGTCCTTAAGCTGTGAGGCCAGTACGTGGAAGGAGGCTGCCGTAGTGAACCCTGAGACCAGGGGCTCCGACAGCAATGTGGATACTGCGCCCAACCGGAGCATCCACATCAATATCTAAGGAAATAATTTCACTGTCACATAGTTCAATAATACAAAGAAAACCATAACAAATAATAAAATACGGTAGTTTCTAACTAGTCAAATTCAATACTTTTTACCGAAATGTCAAAAACTACTTTTCTCTAAGAAATACCTATGGCACGTTGTGACGTCACTTGTTTATGTCAAATAGCATGACATACTTATTTTTGTTGAATTATTAAAAACATACGATTTTTAAGTATTTTTAATTAATTATACTGTAGCGACATCTATAAACAACAGCACCAATCACGAGCAAGAATCTACATCGCGCTATAAGAGTTTTCCACACAATTAGCACCCATACAAATATCCCGACAACAACCGTCGGGCAGTAGCCCACCAGGCACGAACACCTCGCCTGGTCGGAGGATCCTCCCTTTTCAATGGAGGATGAGGAACTTTCCACCCTGTTCCTCATACCTCTAAATTGGTGACCCCGAACATGAACATCAAGCAGCCTTCGTGCAACTACTTCATAGCCATGACGTCATCACTTCCTGGAGCTTTCAAGCAGCGAATCCTACAGTCAGCAGCTTCCACGGCTACAACGGGTTCCCTGACCACCAGCATGCAGCCGACGCGCATTCCTGGTCAGCCCCTACAGCCTCATCAGCAACTTCGGCACAGCATACTGCACCGGCCGGTCAGCAAGCAGAGACGTACTCCCTCTCCTGGTCGACGCAGCAGCTAGCCACTCTTCAGCACCTACAGCCTCATCAGAATCTTCGGCACAGCGTACTGCACCGGCCGGTCAGCTAGCAGAGACGTACTCCCTCTCCTGGTCGACGCAGCAGCTAGCCACTCTTCAGCACTGCACCACCCGACTCACGGGGGCATCTTCGCAGACAGATTCGACGCACTGAAACTATCAACTGGCTCGATAAGCATCTCACAGACGTCTCAACCAGCTAACGACCTCCGGTCTCGGAGGGGAGTGATGTAGCGACATCTATAAACAACAGCACCAATCACGAGCAAGAATCTACATCGCGCTATAAGAGTTTTCCACACAATTAGCACCCATACAAATATCCCGACAACAACCGTCGGGCAGTAGCCCACCAGGCACGAACACCTCGCCTGGTCGGAGGATCCTCCCTTTTCAATGGAGGATGAGGAACTTTCCACCCTGTTCCTCATACCTCTAAAATACGTTATTTTATTGTTCTTTAAGAGCTCATTTTTCAATGGTTAGATAAAAATTACCTGGCGAATAATTATGATGCTGTCGCGTCAGAATGTTTGTATAAGACAGTGACAGCAACATTTTTTTTCCTCAGATAACATTTATCTGACTATTGAAAGATCAGTTCTTAGTCGAAATAATTTCGTTTTAACAGAGTGAACTACTCAAATATTTCAGCTGGAAATAAAGAAAATTAAGTTCAAAATATTTACCTGAAAAATCCCCACTAACAGACAAACAACGCTGACGACCTCTAGCGGAGAATAGTGCATATTATTTTCGTGATCCACTCCTATACCTATTACTGTAACAAAATACACGAAACATAATTAATAATAATAAAAAAGTAATTTTCTACATTTAAGCAGAAATTGAATTATTCACAAAAAATGTGCACGAATGGGTCGGCTCGACCGGACTGATATCACGGCCTCACAGAAAACCGGCGTGAAACAACCACATCGTAATGTATCGCTGTGTGAGTTAGGCTACTGGAGGCTCATTCCTTCTTCTCCTGCCCCAATCTCTAAATGTCCGAAACCCTAATCCCCAAAAGGCCGGTAACACACTAGTAAATCTTCCGTTGTTGCGGGTGCCTATGGGTGACGCCGATTGCTTACCATCAGGTACCTAATATTTATGCTCGCTTGCTGTCCTATAAAAAGTGACAATATAAAAAAAACACATAGGACTTCGATTTGAAGAAATTGAAAACTTCCAAATTTTCCAATGTTGCTACGAATCTACGGCGTAGCATATATGTCGGAGTTTCAAATTATAAATGCAATATCAGCCTTGCATTTTTATAGTAGGTACTAGCGACCCGCCCCGGCTTCACAAGGTTGCAATGCTAATACTAAATTTCTCCACTATTTAATGGATGTTGATACACTAGCTATTCTTGTGCGGTTCGCTCGCACGATCTGTACAAGCCGCTGCTCGGCTTGTACAGATCGTGGCGTGATCTTTGATATTAAGCCTTCCACGCTAAATATTGTTCAAAATTCAAATCAGTACTTCTGTAGATTAAAACAAACTCTACAGCTTTATAATATTAGTATAGATATGATCCTTCTTCAATGACTATCTATTAAAAAAAACGAAAACGGGACGGAGAAAGCGACTTTGTTTTATACTATACATACCTGACATGCTAACATGTGTTGTATTTCCACCAACCACTTCCGGGGTCGCGTACTGTGTTACTACCTGCAAAAAATAAATATACTCTTGAAGGTATTTGGATTGTTTTTTTTCAAACATGTTCTGAAATTAGAACTATAAAAAATGTGGAAGTAGATGTTAGCTAGATCAAAATATTTCTGCGTAAGAAAGTATGCATATTGTTATTTTTTTTTTTAAAAAAACAAACGGCAATCTAGATTTTTTTCCTGTGACGTGGATACGTTTACAAAAAATTAAATTCACATACACACAAACTAACCAGACCCGAAACAATAAATTGTTGATCACAAAAAAATGTTTTCCCTTGCGGGAACGGACCCATGATACGTTGCACGGCAGAGACCCAGCCGCCGCCAATCGTGCAGTCGAGTTGTACTGATTTAAATTCTATGTATAAAAAAGTCTGAATGTTTTTCTTACCTTTCCAGCCATAAGACAGGCTACAGCGAAGGTTCCCATTGACACATGGGGTGAGGTACCAAGCAGTACATAGATAAGGACAGGGAAGAAAGCCATGTACAATCCCACTATGGGAGGCACTTCAGCCAGGAGCGCATAGGCCATGCCTGAAAATGAACAATTGAAAGGATAAGTTTAAATTTTTCCAAATCGGATTTCATTCACAGCGTCACTTGTGGTACTTAAGTAAGAGTTATACAATTAAATCTTTCTTAATAATTACTCTATATTTTTGCGAAAACGGTATAAAATTCTGTTCAGCAGTTTTGGAGTTTATCGCTAACATGTATGTTACAGAGATGACGATGAGACCTTCCTTCTTGGGTGTATGTTTAACCTGGGTGTATTCAAGATCCAAGTGAATAGGTTGCTTATGGACAGGCGCACATTGCAAGCAAATAGAACATTCTATTATATTCTTGCACATTCTAGAATATTGTTGCGCATAGGCGATGAAAATCTGGAAAAACTGATTGTCGTTGGGAACACCGAGGGCAAACGATCGCGTTTTCGTTCACCAACCTGGACCGATAAAGTGAAAAATTCATCGTCCTCCGAATTCTTCGCGGTCGTGAGAGATGCGCTGGATCGAAACCAGTGAAGGCGGATAGCCACTCCATGTTATCCCGATGATGACCACGGTCATCAGATATGAGGATCCGAGTATAAAAAAAAAAATCTTACCCTGGGGTATATGCATGACGGCTGTAGTAGCGCCGGCGATCAGGTCGCCTAGCATGTATTTCTGACAGCTGTACTGCGGCAACCATTTTATTATGGGTATGGAGTTCAACAGGCAATCACCGAAGCCGCAGTTCCTTACGACCTTCCTGAACCGCTCACTCGCTGCAAAGAAATAAAAAAATGGGTTAACTAGCCACAAACTACAAAATTTTCTTTTTCGAGGATGTAAAGCGAGGGTAACCATATAATATATGAATCACACTATTACGACAAGATGTTTTGTATAAGAACCATGCTGCTTCGGCACGAATGGGTGGGCTCGACCGGAGTGATACCACAGTCTCACAGAAAACCGGCGTGAAATAACCAGAACGTTGTGATTGTGATTTACCGCGCGAGTGAGGTACCGGAGGCCCAATCTTTCAACTCCCCCATCCCTCCCGAAACCCTTAAATCTCCGAAATCCTAATCCTCAAAAGGCTGGCAACGCACTCGTTACTCCTCTCTGGTGATACGAGTGACTATAGCCGGCACCGATTGCTTACTATTAGGTAATCCGCCTAGCAGATGGATTGACGATGCCTTAGGACATAGTCGGCTACCAGTCTGCAAGATTAGTAATTCCGTAGGAGAACTAAGCCAGGTATAATTGGCACAACAAACAATTGCCTGACCATGCAGTAGTCAGTAAAAACCGATTACGAACAAAAACCCGCACTTGAAATCACTTAACTGGGAGTGCGAAACTCTTCACTGATAGTTTGCTGATGTAATCCAAGGATAATGATTTGACTGACATATCATAACATTTCCATTAAGATAATATAATAATCGTATCCTACTCCACTACTCAGATTAATAAACTACGCAGTAAATGATTTGAGAATAACAAATGTGTATTTCCGCGCTCTCATGATCTGATCTCTCATGCTCTCTTGAAAACAGACTGACCTCTGAGTTTGTTTCGGCATTTCTTCTCAGAATAGTCATATAAGAAATGCCGGCTTCATCAAGTTTTTCACATATAATTTGACGTGTAAAAGTGCCGTTTTATGGCCTATTTGCAAAAATAAATTCATTGATGAAAGTCGGCAGTGAATGCCGAACTAAAGTCTTTGTACTCTCATGATCTTATGAAATACGTTCGAACTAAAAACAGCTTTTCTTTACAGGAGCCTGTCATAGTACTTATTCTGGCTTGGCAAATATGGTTTGAAAATCGTTGTTAAGTCACAACACCAGAAGAAGAGTTACGAGTGCGTTGCAGGTCTTCTGGAGATTTAGGGATTAGGGAGGGATTGGGCCGCCTGGTAACCTTATTCACACGGCGAAACACAACGCTGTGATTGTTTCACGCTGGTTTTCTGTGAGGCTGTGGCATCACTCCGGTCGAGCCCCGGCCTTTTTGTGTCGAAGCATGGCTCCCCCAGACTTACGATTTAACTATCTAAATATAAAAAATATTAGGTTTTACCTGTTCTTTCAGGTAGTTTATAATCGGCATCTTTGTTGAGGGTCTCCTGTTGGTACACCCTCCGCACCACATTTAGCTGCTGCTGGCTGAGAGCCCGGGCCCTGGAGACAAAGAACATGATACATTGTTACTAGTTCATCATTATAACATTAAGAAACTACTCTAAGGAATGAGCAGGGATGCAGCAAAGGTGACACCCACTTTTAACAGTAGGACACTTAGGAAATAATAGGCTATGGTTTGGTTAATGGCAATTAAAAATGCTTTTAAGGATATTTGACTCGAAAATCTAACTCAAGCCGCATTTCACAACTCCATGCACGGTGGAGCATGTGGTGGCAGTGAGCCCTGCTTGGACTGAGCACTGCCATGTCCTTAGGGAAGCGATCAGCGGCTGCGACCTTTTGCGTCCGCCCTTAGTCAAAGCCGTATTGCGGAGCGAGAAGAACTGAGAAGACGCTTCTTCTGCGAAGCAGTCATGCTCGCAAAGAAGGCCGCGAAACGCGTGAAGGAGCTATCGTAATCCTCACGCTTCAGCCACTGTGCACGAGTCTTTGTTGCATTTCGCGCGCGCCTCATGTAAGCATTAGACCGTCACAGGGACCCCACTAAGGCTGATGTCCAGATGTTATAGTCGGTAAGAGTCTGACACTCTCTCCCGCCCTACCCAGGGCAGCAGAAAACAGATGATGTTTTTTAATATACGAAACAGGTTTTGTTACAGACTTTTACTAAATTAAGCGTCAAAACCTAATTCAATAGTATTTTTGAAATTCGTAAGATTTTTCCAATCTCTCTCGAATGAATCCATAAAATTATTATAGAGAACAGATTCACAACTGATGAATATTTTTTATTACAGTTCTTAAGGAAAAACAAAAGGGTTTATCATTTTGCGAAATATCAATTATTTTTTCCTATTACCATAGAATTGTTGCTAATGTATCTTCAAATTTATTTTGATTTGATATCAAGTTATTATATGGTAAAGAAAAGTATGGTGAATTACGTGATAGTAAGCAATAGGCCGTTTGGACACGCGCAACATCAGAGCTTTAACAACTGGGTTGTCGGTCTTTTGTGGTTTAGGGATTTGAGTTTTGAGGATTTGGAGATCGAAGATAGGGAGAGGAGAAGGTTTGGGCTTCTGGTAACTTCACTCACACGACGAAACAATGCTGTGCTTATTTTACGCCGGATTTTCGTGGGACCGGAGTAGTGCCGTGATTACTACGGGTCAGCCGGCCCATTTGTGCCGAAGCAAGACTTCCCCACACTTAAAATACATATATAAAGGACATTCTCTGCTCAGATCCCACCAACCTTACTTTACCTTTTCGTATGAATAAATAAAATATTCTTAAAGCCACTCAGTGTTATATATAAAATAAAGTATAATGCACATATTAATACCGATCCATGTTAAAATTTCTTGTCGACTAATTCATGAAACGTACAAATAAGCGGTATGTTTATTGTTATTCGGCAGCTCGGAACCATTTCCATTGACTTGTCCGTTTGGCGTTTATTAGACAATCCATAGAGCTATTTTAGAAAACTTTTTTATAATTATTTTTAAAAGACGATTTGAACACCATGTAAATTGGTGCTGAAAAGTACGAAAACAATTAAACGCATAAACAATATATTTTTGAATGCACAATTGGCGCGGTGGCTGCCCTGTGCAACGTGTCGCGGGTTTGATTTCCGCACGGAATGACCCTTTGTGTGATCCACAAATTGTTGTTCCGGGTCTGGGTGTCATGTGTATATGAAATTGTATCTTTGTAACCGCGTTCACGACACAGGAGAAAAATCTAGTGTGGCCAAAAAAAAAATATACCTATCTAAAAAATATTTTAATCAATTTTCGATTAATTTTGTACTGATATTACTTATTTTTTGCGGTTTTTGTTTCAGATGAAACGATTCGATGGCGAATTATTCATCCCATGACGGAAAGTCAGACTCCTACTGACAAAAAAACACTCAGTTCCTTCTCCTACTCCGAACCGGGGCTAATGTACATCATTACACTGTACCCGCAACCACGGCTGGACTTCGTCCCTGATGCGCTCCATCTGTGGTAGTCATCTGAATGGTTTGATGACTCTTTAAGGTTTGCATGAACAATCAGGGTTGCCAGCATAGCGCAATAAGGTGCCGCGGTCTCGGCCTAAAGCAGGAGAAGGATCGGAAGGCTTTAGTAGTAAGAGTCTGACACTCCCTCTCGCCTCACCCTGGGTAAGAGAAATCATCAAAAAGGTCTGCATGAAACATGCGATTTGACTGTATACGATTTAAAAGAGTTAAGTGTGGGAGAGCCATGCTTCGGCACAAATGGGTCGGCTCGACCGGAGTGATACCACGGCCTCACAGAAAACCGGCGTGAAACAATCACAGCGTTGTGTTTCGCCGTATGAGTGAGGTTACCGGAGGCCCAATCCTTCCCCTTCCCGGACCCTTCCCCAATCCCTAAATCTCCAAATCCCTAATCCCTAAAAGGTCGGCAACGCACTCGTAACTCCTCCGTTGTGGGTGTCTATGGGCGGCGTTGATTGCTTACCATCAGGTAATCCGTCTGCTCGTTTGCCGACTTATTACAAAAAAAAAAGAGAATGGAAAAAATTACCAAACTATATTCAAATTCGTTAAACTGTAGCAACAAAATAAATCTAAAACGAACGGTTAACAAAGACTTTTAATAAATAAAGTAATTGATTTCGTAATTACCACTAACTAACTATTAGCGTATAAAGCAATTAAATTGTAATTTATGATTATATTAAATATTATATAGCGTGACATGTTATCAGATGAACTTACTTTAAGACAAAGCCATGTAGTGACGTCAGAGTTTATAGAATATTTTTTCCAAAAATCCTTTTCCACCCACGTTTTTTGTAAAACTAAAAAATCTCATAAGCGGGTGTCGTAAACGCGAAACGGTTTGGTAGGTAGGTACTAAAAGAAAGACATTTTATGAGAGCTCCCTTTAAATATTTGAACTGTCTGGTTTTCACGATTGATGAGATACGCCTGGTGACAGACAGATAGAAGTTGGACTTCTACTTATTAATATGGTCCCTGTTTATTTCCCTTTGTTTAAGAAATCCTAATAAAAAAGACGCGAGTAAAAAGAAAGGTAATGATTTACGGTGACCCGACTCGGTGCAGAAGAAAGAACGGGGTAACTCCAGTCAGTAAGAGTCTGACACTCCCTCTTATCCACCCAGAGCGGGAGAAGAAATGAGATGATTTTCTCCTTTCAAAAAATCTTATACAATTCTGCTAGAAGCCCAGCAGCAGCGCTGATAAAACAGAACCTTTGTAACTGCTATCTTCAATCTTCCAAGATAAGCGTGGATATAGATAAAAGGCTTACTCTAACTCCTCCAACTCCTAAGTACTTGGGTGAACTGACAAGCTGTTCTTGTTGTACCATGAAATTCTCATCCATAATTGGATTGCTATCTTACTATACCTATTTCTTTGTTCTTTCCTTTCACGGGGCCACAGGGTCCCGAACCTTTGGAATGCGTACGAGGAGCCGAAGCCAACTCACAGAGGCCCGTTGAACAATTTTAATCTAAATGTGATGGGACATCAGCCGGCAATTATCCCTGTATGCACTATAAAGTGCACCCAAGGACAATCCCCGGTTGCAGGACTATTGTGAAACTATACCTATTCATTATTATTATTTTAATATATTAAATTTTAATAATATAAAGCTGGGGAGTTTGTTTGAACGCGCTAATCTCCGAAACTACTGGTTAGAATTGAATAATTCTTTTTGTGTTTGTCAGTACATTTATTTAAGAAGGCTTTTAGAGCATAAAACATCACGCTACGATTTGTAGGAGCCGAGTAGCGAGTAGTTGCTGTAAATTGCATTAAATATATTGCAACAATGCCACGGCAATTTAGAGTTGCGTGCACTCAAGTGAAACGTGTTCGTGTTTTTTAATAAATACACTTAGTGTTTGTTAACAACTTTTTGTGTTTTATATGGCTATTAAATGATGTAAAATGACTATAATAAAATTAAAAATTTCCATTCTTCAGAGAACTATGGAAATGTGTCATTTTAGCACAAAAACTGGGGTGTAACAGGGTCGATGTTCAGCCGGGGTTGCGGGCCAAGCAATAAGGTGCCGCGACATCGGCCTGGAGCAGGCGAATGAATATGGTTTTTAGACAGTAAAAGTTTGACACGGGTCTTGGAGAGAACCCTGGGCGATAGAAGTCATTTGATGATTATCCCCTACTAAAACGGGGTCGAAACAATGCTGTTTCGACCCCTGCTCGTTTTGTACTTAATGGCATTTTTATTTTTTGAAAAAGCTTTTTTTTTGCTGGCGGTTTCACATGCACATCACACCCAGATCCGGAACAGCAATTTGTGCATCACAAAAAGAGTTGTTACGTGCGGGAATCGAAACCGCGATACGAAACGAAAGATCAGCGCGTTTAACCAAATCAACAAACAGTCTTCCAATTTATATGTTAAAAAGGATAAAATGTATCGATTTTTTAAAATAAACGTAATTAAAAACTTGCCCAGTTTCATCATCTTTATCATAATCACCGTAATCATCATCATCGTCATCATCATCACGCAACAACGGCTCGTGTTCATTATTACAAAAGTCTTCTTCGAAAATCAAAAACGTTTTTTTCATACGCATTATAACTTCACAAATTCATTCAAAAATGCTCAAATCTACGTGTAATTTCAATAAACACTTTTTACAATTAACAGTTTAATAAATTTAATAGCATAATTTGTTTTTTATATTCACAATTTTATAAGTTGTCACAATTTATTGTGATTAGAAAATCAACATCCGAATTCACTTAAAGACGCGTTCTTTTTATAAAAGCATCGTTTACCAATCGAGTTTATTGACAGTCCACAGTTAAAATACAATTAAATTATAAGTTTAACATCTTATCACTAACTGGATAGACGTTTAATAAGTAAATCGGTTAGTTTTGAACTGAATCTGGATCTAGTCGGTACGTAATGTGATAACGCAAGCCGACATGGCTGGACGGTCAACGATTGGTCAGTTTAGAGAAATTCTATTTAAATGAC